TTCATTACTAATTGATCTGTGAAAAGAGAGCACTCTAATTTATTATAGAATTCTTCTCCACCACTTTGTAAAAGAACCAAACAATTCAGAAACTATCTATTTTACATTATTGTTAAGAACATTGTAGTCTTCCTTTTCTCATAAAAATATATTGGCTAACTGTTTTCGTTTACTACTAGCAGTAAAAATAGCAGAACAATCGATTTTGTTTATTTAGCAGTCACGTGACGTAATTAATGTTGACATTATTGTTATAATAATTTTTTGATAGAGTGTTGCAAGGGCTACAATAACATGTAAAAATTGTTAGTCATTAATCATTATTATAATTTTTATCTAGCTTTTTCTGTTTTGTCCAACGAAAGTCTACTACATCCTTAAACGACTTCACTATAGACGACACGACCGGACAACTAACATGTCATACACCACACAGTAGTAGTAAAATCGGTTATGCAATAACGTCAAAGCAATTACACAATAATATCAGATTACTGCACTATTTCTCTATCAATAAAAGTAAACACTGTTATTGAACAACCCAAGTTGTGATTGAGAAGCTCTGTAAACGAAATATAATTGGGATGCTGCAGGAAAATTCAACAAGTGATTCATCCAAATAGAAGATATTGCATGATACAAATAGTGACTTTACTTATGAATGCGCATATAAATCAATCACGCCTGAATCATATTTTAACAAATTACTCATTCTATCTTCTCAGGATATGGTACTGCATTAAAAAGTGAAATACTGTATGGAAAACGTTTTGGTCAATTATGCTGAACAATTAAAACCTAATAAAGCAACTGCAGGAGATAAAATCTCAAATGTAGTTATTAAACATGGCCAGCAAAACCAATTAAACACAAAATACAAACAAACTTTCCTGAGACATGGAGCTCCATATACATATATATAGTGACCTTCAGATCCTGCATTACACAGTCCCTGTGAGTTCGCACATTTAAGAAATATATAAAGTTTGAACATGAAAAGTCAAAAACTTGAAAATTTCATTCACTAAAACAAAATGACCACCAGTAACCGACTGATCTGCAAAAGTGACACACACTAAAGTCTTATAGAGTTCATACCAGGTTTGAACAAAATCTATGCATGACCAAGATCAAGATTCGCAGAAATGTTTGATTTTGATAAATTTTTAATATTAAAATAGTCACTTTTAGACCACTTTTAGAATTGTCAAATACATTTGCATATTTGCATTATGATGTATAATGTATAACTAAAGTCTGGAAATGTTTGGTCAGGTAATGTCTGAGATAAAGATCTGAAATCGAATTTGTAAAAAAAAATGGCCACCAGTCAGCCATTTTGAATTCAATCTGAAAAACACAAGCTATGCATGGCACAGTACCTGTTAGTTCCAAATTTAAGCGTTTTAAGTTTTGTTTATACATGTAGTAACATAGTTGGAACATAAAGATATAGATCCAGAAGTTGACGCTTGATTATGATGATTTTTTAACATTGAAACTGTCGACATTCAGTTATCTTGTATCCGATCATCAAACTAGTACTGGAACAGCATTAATTAAAATGAAATGGCCTCCAGTCAGCCATTTTGAATACATATGTATATAGACTATATGATTTATACAATGAATGAATATAATGAATATGTAAAATTTGAACATAATCAGCCAAAGCATGTCAGAGATACAGCACTGCATTCATTAAAACAAAATGACCGCCAGTTGGCCATTTTGACTCCGATCTGAAAAACAAAATGCCATACATCAAAGTCCTATAATGTTGTACCAAGTTTAAACATGCTTGACAAAATTTGTCTATACACGACCAAGAAATGGTTCCAGAATGGCAGAAAGGCTTGATTTTGATGAATTTTTAGCACAAAAATGGCCACCATTCGGCCTCTTGAATTGGATCATGAAACCAATGGATGTGTATATGCCACCTAAGATATGTGATGTATTTGTGAAGTTTAAATATGATTATGCAGAGATACAAGTAGAGAAGCACACACACACTGAGGTTCAAACATACTAGTTCCCGTTTTTGACAGGTGACAGCTGGCTGGTTCATGAGATCTCTGATTCTTTGTTCTAAAGAAGATGTAACTGTGTCCACCTGAAAGCTTGTCACAAAAAGATTCGTCTTCTTTAAGAGACCAAGGTGAGTTTTTCTTGACCAGTTTTATGGTAAACAAGCCATGCATGGCACAGTCCGGCCCAGTTAGTTATCAAATTTAAGATATATAGTTTTGTTTATAGTAATATAGCTGGAATATAACCATGTCAGGAACATAATTTTTTAACATTAAAATGATTGACATTTGTATCTGATCGTCAAACAAGTACTTGTCCATATTGAGAGATATTGCTCTGGAACAGCATTCAAAATCAGCCATTTTGAATACATGTATATATATAACATGATGTATAACGAATATATAAAATTTGAATATAATCAGTCAAAGCATTTAAGAGATATGGCTCTAGAAGCCCAATCATTAAAACAAAATGGCCACCAGTCAGCCATTTTGAATCCAATCTGAAAAATAAAATGATGTGCATCAGGAACCCGTCTAATGTATGTACCAAGTTTGAACGAAATCCATCCATAATTGCCAGAAATGCTTGATATATGATGATTTTTTGGCACAAAAATGATCACCATTCGAGCATTTTGAATAGGATCGTCAAACCAATATATCTATCTATGACATCATGTATAATGAATATTTAAAATTTGAATATAATCAGTGAAAGCAAGTCACCAGTCGGCCATTTTGAATCTTATCTGAAAAACAAAATTATTTGCATCAAGGTCCTATAACGTCTAATGTATGTACCAAGTTTGAAGAAAATCCATCTGTAAACAGCCAAGAAATGCTTGATTTTGAAGATTTTTAGCACAAAAATGGCCGCCATTCGGCCATCTTGAATCAGATCGTGCATGTGTATAATATCATGTATGATGTATGTGTGAAGCTTGATTGTGATTGGTCCAGGCATTTCTAAGATACAGGTCCGGACGCACACACAGACGCCAACACGCACACACGAATACACGGAGGTCAAAACATAAGTCCCCGTTTTAGGACTGCATCCGAACAGGGACTAATAAAGCTAAATATGACTTATTGGGTAGTATCAGGGGGCAATGTTATAAACAAAATTTCAACGGATGTACCATATTTGTAATATTACAATCCAATGGAAGCATGCATAAATTCATGCATTTACTGTGTAATAGACCATGAAAATATGACATTTACATAAGCACATGTGCTACAAATAAAGCCGATATATTTAGTGATACCACAATGACACAATGTAGCCATAATTTCAATAAAGCATATTTAACTTACCCAACAATTGGATTTTCAAATTTCACTTTATTTCTTGTTTCGTCCAAGAACGACTGTAAAACTGGCTGCGGCCTTGTAACATATTTTATAAACTGAGCTATCCACCAGACTGCAGGCTGACCATGCAAACGCAATAGCCTCTCAGAAAGGTCTTCGGGTATTGCAAGAGGCAAATAGTTGGGTCTCGGATGAAGACCGTCAACTATCGGTAAATCAACAACTTGCACGTCTTTTATCCGAGATTCTTCTGAAAATTAGATATATTCTATTATTAAAATCATATAATGACCAAGACATATTCCATGTATGGTTAATTACACAATAAAACATTATACAGGTGTATTATATGATAAACTGTTCATACCTCGTACATACTTCGGTTGCATGTAACGTTCAAACACCAATGTAGTGTGTTAGCTAACAAATTGGCTAGTCAGTTATTAATTTTGATTTCAGACAAGTGTCCAGTGCCTGCTTTTACAATTTCAAACACCACTATGGGATTTCTTCCATTCAGTTGTCGGCGGCATGGGAGATACCATTATTTTGAGATGTAAACAACCTACAGCCATTTGTTTATAACAAACAGTACATTTTGTATGCATGAATGTATTTTTGTTGTTAAATGAAAGAACAGCTTCTCCACATGTTCCCTGTCTTTATTTCTGTTAGCACAATTTTATTTTAAAATTTCTACAAAGGAAATATTCTGAACACATTATGGGGCAAAGTTTTAGAGTGAAGGTGGGCAACACCCAGGATAACACCTCTCAAGAGGACAAAGATGCAATAATTTCATAGTTATCAGCCTGCCCCAGCAACTCGCTATTCTGTGACAAAGATGCAATAATTTCATAGTTATCAGCCTGCCCCAGCAGCTAGTTATTCTGTGACAAAGATATTGAAAATATGATGTAGTTCATATTGCAAAGTCCACTGTCTGATACCTAATTAAATGTTGTTGCTCCACCAGTTAATCGTTTACTCCACAGCCATGTCAATACCATAGTCGAGGTACTGGATGCTTGTCTGAAAGTGACATGCTAACTGCATGCTAAATTCTGCATTGGTGTCCGAGTGCTATGTGTGGTGGTAGTAATCATTAATGGGTACTGGTGTTTAAAACACTATGCAACACAGTATTGCCTAGACTTTCACCATAGATGTCTGTCTGTCCGTCTGTCTGTCTGTCTGTCTGTGAATACTTGGACGGTTACCCACATCAGTATGTTACCTTCAACTGTATGACACTTACCTGTCCAAGCATTTCTACTTGTTCCTGTAATAGTGACACAAGTGTTACTCAATGGTTGGAAGAACTTCTCCCATCCATCTTTAGCATATCTCCAACCTTTGGATTCAAGGATTAACGTCCTCTCCGAACCGTACGCCATAATGAGACAGTATACGACATGATGCAACTGACATCCATACCCACATCCCTTATTCAAATTACACACCAATTTTTTAGCTTTACTGCAGTCTTTTGGATTCTTGATAAAAAAAAGAGAAAATGTGTCAGTTTTCGATGTTTTCTTTTCAATTTTATTCTGAACATTCAATACCAGTTCATGTGGATGGATTTTTCTTGGATGTAGCTCACAAAGGTGGCAGGGCAAAAAGCATACCTGTAAATACTTTAATCTTTTTTGCACTGTCTGTTCCAATTCTTTGGCTTCATTTTCTCGCCACATATCAATCCCCCCGGATACACCAAGAAGGTAGATATCTGTCAGGATAGACCTATCAAGAAGGTTTAAATTGCACATTGTGTCAATACAGGTAGTGCACAGATAATATGGGTAGTGTGCAATACAGAGATAATGTAGCTGGCATGCAATTGATGTGGTAAAGGATTGGATGGGAGTTTCCACTACACATGAACTGTGGGATTCCAAAGGGTTCTACTAAGGAACTAGTCTATAAACCTTGTGTTACCACAGAGCAGGGGTTTTTATATCATCAATAACTGCATCTAATGATAGCAAGGACATGTAATAATGCAACAATAATGTAAATTATAATATCATAACAAATCAACAAATGAGTATCTCTGAGATTGAAATGTTACTAACCTTTGCTGATCACCTCCATCGACTAAAATTTCATCTATTTGCTCATCGATCTGATCTTTATCAGAAGTCTTTTTGATTTTGTTCAGCTTTGATTTAATGTAGTACCAAATCTCGGTGACACCATTATCAATTCTTCTTCTAAGTTTCTCATGATCAGGAGAAGGTCCGCTGTGAAGTGAAACGTCACTTTTTGTGTTTTTACCTGAAAAGATAGATGACACTATTGGTTATCAAAATAGTTCAGAAACGCAAGTACACTAATAGGTTTGATATTTGTGCAATTAATTGTTAGTGGTACATTGCATAGGAACATTGTGATACATATATCATGAGAATACATTGCATAGACACACTGTGATATCATGAGAATACATTGCATAGACACACTGTGATATCATGAGAATACATTGCATAGGAACATTGTGATATCATGAGAATACATTGCATAGGAACATTGTGATATCATGAGAATACATCGCATACTGGTAGGTGCAGCATTGTGACTTCATGATTGAATGGTTGAAAACAAATCCTAGAGAATTATTATGAATGAGAAGATTCGTCATGCAGCATAAGTGAGGTGTTTGTGTGAAATAGAGAGGTATGTATGGGGGTCTAAAAACTAACTCTGCGACGCGATTGTGCGACTCGCCGAATGTCGATTATTGCACTCTGCGACAAGATCGCAGTGTCACTCTGTGAAGAGCACGATTCTCATTGGTTGGTTGGTCGAAAAGCGTGAATCCCAATGGTCGATCGATGTAAGGGTACACAGCATGCCTTATAGAAATGTTCAGTTTTAAATGGTTATTTCGCCGAGTAAACAAGTATTTACCGACGACATGCCGCACGGTTCGGTAATCAGCAAGTATTTAACATTGATTTATTAACATGTATAACATCCCCCGGAGGGGATGAGAGGGGTTACAAAACACATGCACGTTGGTGTTGGGTGCCTTATTACGGTGTAACATGAGAGAGCTGGTAACATTAACGCCATCTTGAAGTTGTAAGGCTTCGTCCGCAACTATGCTCATTAGCATAGGCGGCAGCTTCAAAGCGAGTAAGAGCGTGAAGTACGTTTCACGCGATCCGGGGCACACAATGTTACTTTCTTTTTTTTGTCATTAGCAAGTATAATTTGTTATGACAATATTCATCACTTTGAATTCCCAAATAAAGCGTGTAGCGGGTTCAAACTGTTTCTAGGCAATCAATATCGTTT